ATTAGGGCTCCAATCCCTGAGTTGAGATTTTTAGACATAGGGCCTCCGTTCCCTAGTCACAATTTGCCAACATTAGGGCTCCAATCCCTGAGTTGAGATTTTTAGACATAGGGCCTCTATTCTCTAGTCGCCTTTTGCCAACATTAGGGCCTCAATCTCTAAGTTGAGATTTTAGACATAGGGCCTCCATTCCCTAGTCGTCTTTATTGCCAGCATTAGGGCTCCAATCCCTGAGTTGAGATTTTTTAGACATAGGGCCTCCATTCCCTAGTCGCCTTTTGCCAACATTAGGGCTCCAATCCCTAAGTTGATATTTTTTAGACATAGGGCCTCCATTCCCTAGTCGCCTTTCTTTTCCAACATTAGGGCTCCAATCCCTGAGTTGAGATTTTTAGACATAGGGCCTCCATTCCCTAGTCGCCTTTTTGCCAACATAGGGTATCCACTCCCTAGTCGAGGTTATTTTAGATATAGGGCTTCATTCCCTAATCTCTTCCTCCTAAGGACACGCAATCCTTATTTTACCGCTTTCAAAACAAAAAAAAATGTTTAGATTTTAGTTACAAATAACTTACGAAATTTTCCTAGTGAAAACTGGGGCGGAAAATTTTCGTCTGTTTGTTTGTTTTGGTGTCTGAGCAGGTTTAGCCTCGAGGCACAAGGTCTGAGACAACCAAAAGAATGAGTCTCAATCCAAAATAATAAAAAGAATAAAAGGAGCAAAAAGAAATGAACTCAAAATGTTGATGTGGAGAAAGATGTGGATTGTTCAAGATATGATTGAAGTCACAAGCTTCGCATGTCCCGCTTTGATCCGAAAAGCTGAAGAAGAATGAACCAGCAGTTGCAGCTAACGAGCATCACGATTCAGATCAGAGTCTGCAGGAAGAACCAGTCAAGATCAAGGATAAGTTTCACAAGACTCATAGATAGGAATCTTGTAACTCATAGCTGATAGGCTTGTTTAGTTTCTCTTTGATTTTTGATATAATAAAAGGACTGCGGACCGGAGCCTCGACAGAACCTCACTCGACTCCTCAACTCATCATTCCATCATTTTTCTTGAACTACACGCGACCTGATTCCCTTATAACCCGGGATATGTAGGTTGTCCAAAACCAAAACTCAGTTGCATCCTTTCTCTTTTCTCTTATCCTTATTTCTTCTCTTTTGAATAAAGATATGTTCAAAAATTAGTCACATGACTCACCTTATCTTTGCTTGAAAACTCTTCACGTTGCCAAGCAAAGAAGGGCAGCTGTGAGCACCTAATTTTTGACAATATTTAATTTTTTTTGTCACTTCTTCTATGTAAATATTTTAGGGGGTTTTAATATATAAATTTTTAGCTTTGTTACACTTTTTATTATAGGTTAAAAATACAAAATTTTAGAAGGTGAATTATTACTATTAATATTATTTTATTTTTATTCTTATTTTTAAATAATAATAAAAAATTCGAAAAATATTTTTTTTTTAATTTTCAGGAGAGATTTAAAAAAATAATAAAAAGGGAAGTATGGAATTAAAAAAAAGAGTAAAAGTAGGTGGAATTCTCTTTTAAAAAACTAAAAGAAAGTGAAAAATTAAAAAAATAAAAATAAAGTTTTGTGGAAATTTTTAAAAATAAAAAGTAAAAGAAAGTTGGAATTAGAAAATAATATAAAGGTAGCTGAAAATTTAAAAAAAATTAAATTAAAATAAAGTAGAATTTTTTAAAGAAAAGTAAAAGAAAGTGGATTGTTTCCTTAAGAAAAGTAAAATAAGTGGAATTCTCTTTTAAAAAGGTAAAAAAAGTGGGATTTTAAATAAGATAAAAGTAATTAAAGTTGGAATTTAAAAAATAAAAGTAAAGAAAGGTGGTAATTCTTTTTATAAAAAAAGAAAAGCAAAATGTAAGTGAAATTTTTTAAAAAAAAATATAAAAAAATATTAAAAAAATCTGAATTTTTTTGAAAATTCTCCTATAAATAGAAGAGAAATATTTGAAGAAAAAAAGAAGAGAAGAGGGAAGAATATTGAGAGAAAACAAATTTTCTTCTTCTATGCTAAAGAGAATTTCTACTAGTTTTATTCTTTCTACCTATTTCTTTCAACAAAAAAAAAATATAGTCATTCATTACCTTGTTTAAAAAAAATACCTCAAAAACAGGAGCTAAATTACACCAAAAATTAAGTCCAAAAGCTCCAAACTCAATTTAAAAGATAGCCCAAAATACTAGCCCGAAGAGGTCGAAGTCGAGTTTGGTTCGAAATGTTTCCGCTCGTTGCCTCTGATTGTGGTTCATTTGCACATTAAATTTGATGGTTGTTTGCTCCATATGTATTGAATAAGATCTTCATCTATAAAAGATTCGGTCTTTTCTTAACCAATGTTTCCATTATTTTTCTTTCACCGTATTTTCTTTTGATTTGTATATTATATTTTGGTTATCTACCAACTTGAAAGATATGAGCAAAAAAAATGAAGGAAGAGCATCAAGAAATAGAATTCGTGAAAGACATAATGAGTTTCTTCAATGAGATTGTAGTTCATAGGGAAAGATAGGAAAATGTATTCAAAATGGAGAGAGAACGATCTAATAGCTTGGATCTAAATTAAAGGATGTTAAGTCAATAGCAAATTTGATACCGACATGGTTGATTAGGTCCATAATAACTCAAATCATATATTTCTTCAATAATAATTCCATATTCATAAATCATGACCTTGCAATAATCTCAAAGTAGTTTTAGGAAGAAACATAATCATTAATATTTGTAGTTTGCTTTAAATTGAATACAATCCCTTTAGAATAATCGAGGCGCGCCATACCAAATAAAATCTCAACACTCATGGCCCTCATTTTATTAATTTTAATCCTTAGAAATCGAGGCGTGCCATTTAGTTGAATTTTCCATGGCCCTCGCAAACTTGAAAGTGCGTAGTTGCTTTAGGCGCGCTATTTTTTTTNATGTTTTAAAAATCAGATAATAAGCCAATTGTAATAGTTTAAGCGATCGTACTAGAACCACGAAATCCGGGAATGCCTAACACCTTCTCCCGGGTTAACAGAATTCCCTACTCAGAATTTCTAGTTCGCAAACTTCAAAAGGAAAGTCGAAATTTCCTCGATTTGGGATTTAAAATAAATCGGTGACTTGGGACACCAAATAAACTATCTCAAGTGGCGACTCTAAATTGAATAATTAATCCCATTTCGAATAATGTCACTTAAATTGGAAAAACTCTCTTATATACCTTCGGGTGTGTAAAAAAGAGGTGTGACAATTACCCACAAAGATGTGAGGACGACAAAACGTTTTCATCCTTGCTTATATATATAATATATAATTAGTGTTAGGGTACGCGCATTGCGCGTGTATCCTATATTCATAAATATACGATTTTGAAAAAAAAAATCTCTCTATCTTTCTTATATATACTACATAATATGTCTGGGTTGTAAAATAAAAAAATAGAAAAAAAGTAATATGTCATCACATAAGTCATCGAATGCCTTAGTATTCTTGTTTTCTCGTTTGCTCCGCCAATATTGAGTTAATATTTTACAAGAAATAATATAAAAAAATATAGGGAGTTGTCACTCTTTATAATAATGAATGAAGAAAAAATACAACTCATTTAGAATACATTTTGTCTTTTAATATTTTAACCTTATCGCTTCAAATTTGCACTTAACCAACTTGATATAATCAATTTTTCTCTATCTCTAATTTTTCTTTTCGCCGGTATCTTTCTTATGAAAATTAAAATATATGTACCATATGAGTTTTATCAACTTGAAAAATAATTTCTTGTATATGAATAGTTTTAAAAAGAAGTGAATTGAATTTATTTTGCTATTAGTTCTAAGAAGTTAATTATTTGTTTTTTAAAAAGTAATTTATTTTTGTTCAAATTCTTAGTATGAACTCATCCAAAATTTTATATTTAACTGTAATTATAATTTTGTTCAATAAAAAATTATTTTCAAAGGGTAAACTATCGATATAACATTTTACTTTGGACAGTTATATTTTCAAAATGATTAGTGCAATTGACTCTTATTGACCACGTCTCGTTATTTCTCGTTTAAAATCTGAAATATTTTTTACTATAAGTTCAAGATTATTAATGTAATAAAATTATCATGTAACTTTAGAGTTGTGTTAGTAAATTCTCTTTTGGACAAATTTTCTTATTCCTTATTTTTTTTCATGAGTTTGGGAAGAATGCAATTTTAGAGACCTTGAGGTTTAACCTTTACATCATTAACTTTTTATCACCAGATATTACAAAGGAGGAAGAGAAAATTGAGTGATTGGTATGAATGGATTAACTTGGTAAGTAGTATATTAGAAATATTATAAAGTTCAAAATGTTGGGCTAGGAATTTACATATATTTTGAGTTAGTACATATTAGTAGTTTTTACTTAGTTCAAATAAAGAAAGAGTTAATGATCAAAATATTTTAAAATTTCAAACTCCGAAAAAATACTCACGTTTAAAAAATCACAAAAAAATAATATTAGTTGATCTAAGAAGTCTTGTATAATGCAAAGAGTTTAACATCTAATATAACTTTTAATATGGTTAATATACGTGTTTTAAATAATTAACTTAAAAGTTCAACTTTTAATATAGTTTACTTTGCAAAATTATTGCTAAGAAAAGTATTTTTGTAAGTATAATTTTACTCAATAACTTTAATTTCCTAAATATTAGGAGTTCATACATTATTCAAATAAGGAAAAATTTAATAGTCATAATTTTAGTTGATTTTAAATAACTCAATTTTAGAAAAATAATTAAATAACTATTTTATCTAGTATGAACTATATTTTAATAGGGTAAAAAAAGACAACATTTAGCTTAAGTACCTTCGTGCTTTGATATAATATAGATAATGTGATGAAAATAAAATACATGGGGTTTTAGTCGAACAAAAATACATGACTTAAGATATTTGTGTTGAAAGTAGAATACGCCTAATATCCACAAAAAACCATTTTCCAACGGAACTTGATCTCAACTTTCCAGACGCTCACTCTGATCATGAGTTTATGCTTCTGCTCCAATTTGAAACCATCCATTCTATTTCCGGACTCCGATTTGCGATGGAATCCAACCCGTACCCGACCCGTTTCATTCACTAAGCTAAGGCAAACCAATTACAGTTTCATTAAGGCCGTCGGAGAAGAAATCGGAGTGCTATCGCCGGACGACAGCTTTTCGCTGCGTAATCCCGTAATTGAAGAGGAAACACCACCGGAGACTGAGGTTCATGAAGTAGAAAATGAAGTTGCTGCTAGTGTTGTGGATGAAGATAAAGCTCAAAGTTGGATTAAAAAGAGTGAGAACAAGGACCAACAAGTGGATGAGCTAGATGAAAATTCTAGTAGATTCAAGTTACTTAACGGAAAAGAGGTGAGTTAATTTGTTTTTTTTTTGAAATTCTATTATCCTCTGTTTTGTATTTAGAAGTTGAGTTCAGTGAGAATATCACATATAATTTTTTTTTTATCAAACACCTGGTGTACATCAAGTTTAGTATAAATTAACTCTAGGAAGAACATTAACCAAGGTGAGTTATGTTTTTTTTTTTAGTTTGAATAAATGAGTTTTAAAGTGTTTTATTTTAATACTCCATTTGAAGTTTGTTATAATAACTTTTACAAACGGATGCTACTCGTTTTATGTGGTAAAGTAAGTGAATAAGCATCAATGGATTTTAATTTTTATTTGTACGTCATTTTTACTTTTTGTGCAAAATTAACCAGGTATAGTGATAAAAGGTACATAGAAGGAATGATACATGTCGTGTATTTATTGGCATAGATAAGTTTTCAATAGAGTTCAAGTTCTATGTACTGACTTCGTATAAATATTTACAAGGTAATTACTAGTAAGTCTATTTAGTAGCATTGTATAATAAATGGTAAATAACCTGCTAAAACAGGTTATGTTACACTAGTGATGTAAAAGATTCATTACACTGCCTTCTCGATTTGGCAAATGACTTTTTTTTTCTTCTTTCTTTTTGTTGATTTTCCATAACAAAAGGCAGTTTTAGCAATGACAACCGAATTTTGTTGTGCACCATCTTTCTATTCTTTATCTCAATTTTCTGCTGATGGTTAAAACTTCAGGTTTTTGAAGAGAAAGCCTACCTAGTGGGTGTTTCATGCAGAGGTGATACAGAAGATTCATTTGGTATAGAGGAATCACTCAAGGAATTGGCCCAGCTGGCTGATACTGCTGGACTACTGGTTGTTGATTCTACATATCAGAAGTAAGTGTTGGTAATATAGTCATTTCTGATACACAGGCAATTTTTTGTATAACCTTAGCTTCATAAGTTCCTGGTCAGTGTAATACGTAGATTAAGGTGTGAATAGTTTATAGGTCCACTAATCGTAGAGCTCACTTTAACTGCATAGACATGTCATTTTAGAGCTTTTAAACTTGGAGTTATCACAAAAATATGATTACCTTGATTATGACGTGGGACGTAGGTTGTATAATCATTGCAAAATGTCTTCCAAATTATCTCATTTATTTATTCTCTTACAGTTAATGGGATGATGCTGTCTAAATTGAAGAGATAACATGATTTTTGTTTCTTGTTAAATTTCTCTCGAATTTATGTTACATATATGCAACTTACTCTTTCTTTTCTTCCAGGCTATCTTCTCCTAATCCGAGGACTTACATAGGGTCCGGAAAGGTTGCAGAGATCAAAACTGCTATTCGTGCATTTGATGTTGAGACCGTGATATTTGATGATGAACTTTCTCCAGGGTAGTTCTCAGCAAATTTTTGCCCATTTCTATTCTTACAAGGACAATACTGTTATATTCTGAAATTTTCTTATCTTAGATTAATTTAAAGAAAATTTTATCCCTGCAATGCTTTCAGTTTATGTAGATTTTCATCCCCACTGGCTACTTGATTTTTTTAAAATTGTTCGTGCTTCATCTGATTCTGTACTTGAAAAAAGGTGTAAATTCAACTTTTGGTTATCCATATGCTGATTGTTTTATGGTGCTCTTTTTAGACAATTGCGTAATCTGGAAAAGGCTTTTGGTGGGGATGTCAGAGTGTGTGATCGCACTGCTCTCATCCTGGATATTTTCAACCAGCGAGCGGCAACCCGTGAAGCGTCTTTACAGGTAAGTTCACTTTTATTTTTCGGTATTGCATCCTGAAAATGTTTGCACTTTTGCATTACCAGTTGAATTCTTTCAGGTATCATTGGCACAAATGGAATACCAATTACCACGGCTAACCCGTATGTGGACTCATCTTGAGCGTCAAGCTGGAGGACAGGTCAAGGGTATGGGTGAAAAACAAATTGAAGTAGACAAGAGAATTTTACGTACTCAGGTAAGCAATTTCTCTTATGATCATAAATTGTGTACATCTGTATTAGTGAGTAACTTCACACTGAACTAGAGTTAGATATTAACCCTCTATATTTATCAATTTGCGAATTGCTGATTTGTCAAATCTCTCATTAATTTTTCTGGACAATTGTAGAGATTGGTTATACGGAGAGTAATATTTTGATCATTGGTTCTCAAATCTTTTTTTTGTGCTTGTGATAGCTATCAATAGGTTACTTTTAGTGATATTTCTAGTGGCCTTTATGGCATGTTTTTGGCTTTCTCCAAATTTTAACAGCAAAATGCTTCCCGCAAGCACCACCTCACCAAATTTTTTAGAGAGATACTAAAATTCACAGATGCACTGCTGAAACTTCAATTGAGACACAGTTCTAGACTGTCTTCTACCCCTGTCAATGTAAAACATGTGTGTTAATGCTGAACTGAACTCTCGGTATTACTTTTCTTCTGCTTGTTGCTTATCTGTGTAACACAGCATTTGTGTTATCCAACCACTGCCAAATGTTAATGAGACTCTATGACTAGTGAAAGTCCTTGGCTTAGTTGCATGTGGTCTCTTGGAGATGACCTTGCTTTTATGAGTAAAATGAAAAAGTTAGTAGAGTGCATCCATCAATCATGATCATATTTCTTCTCTGCCAGCGTTCCTGACTCGTATTGGTAATTACGCGGGGATGTAGATGAACCTGCTTTTTCTTTTTATTTATAACCCTCTTTTATCATATTTTTATATTCCATATTGTTTTTGGATTTCTCTACTCTTTCTTTCGTGTTAAATAATGTGTAAATATTGGATACATTTCTTTTTCGGTTACTTTTACACCTTTCCATCACTAACTTCAGATATTACTATAATCTTTTGCAGATTGGTGTACTCAAGAAAGAGTTAGAATCTGTTCGGAAGCATCGCAAACAGTATAGGAACCGTCGTGTCTCTGTACCTGTCCCTGTTGTATCTTTGGTACAAAATGTGTTTCCCGTAGAATGTTTGTACACCATGCTGAAGAGAATGATAATTGATATATAAAGTGCTTATTGCTTTAGGTTGGATACACAAATGCTGGCAAAAGTACACTTCTTAACCGGTTGACTGGGGCCGATGTTCTTGCAGAAGACCGATTATTCGCAACACTTGATCCTACTACCAGAAGGGTGCAGGTGAGGATAATGACTGATGATTAATCCTGAAGACAGCTCAACTCATTGCTTGTACATGTTTCCTATATTTGGTGCCCGTTTGAAGCACATAAATTCCTCGTTGGCTGAAAATTATGTGCATCTGGATTTTTTCGGCATAATCAATATATTTAGTTATCTCTAAGGTTGTAATGTTTTGTGCTTGCCACTCTTCTGAGCCAGATGAAGAATGGGAAGGAATTTCTGCTTACAGATACTGTTGGCTTCATCCAAAAATTACCAACCACTCTGGTAAACCTTGCAACTTTGAACAAATAGCTCGTCTTTCATACATTCCCGTTGAAGACAAGTTTCAACGTTGGCTTACTAAAAAAGTTTTGATATAATGGAATTGGTCTTTTATTCTATTCTTCTTCCAATAGGTTGCAGCCTTTAGGGCAACACTCGAAGAAATCGCAGAGTCTTCAATTTTAGTGCATGTGGTGGACATCAGGTAAAGTTGATCTATCTGATATAATGAATTTTTAATACACATCAACATAAGCTCTTATCATCTTTGTCATCTTGTTTAGTCATCCACTAGCGGAGCTACAGATAGAAGCTGTGGAGAAAGTTCTCTCAGAACTGGATGCAGTATCAATTCCGAAGTTGATGGTGTGGAACAAGGTATTAGTGTTGCATGTCATTTAGTTTGAATACTGTTGTATTTGCAGTGAGCACTCTACTTCCTTTATCCAAAGCCATCTTGTTTTTGACTGACTTGTTCTTCGTCCAGCCAATCTCTTTGCTTGATTCTTGTGTTGAATCCTGCAATCCTTTCTGTTTCTACAATTCCCTGATAATGTTAAATGTTGACGGTTTATTGTCTGTCCAGTGTCGGCTGTTGTTTAGTGATGCTCACTGTACAAGATGTGTTGTTTGTTGTTTTAAATTTTTTTCTTCCTATAGCATATACCTTTTTGTCCTTTCCTAACTGACCTCAGTGCACGTTGAGAAAAGATAGCTTTTCCTAGCTAAACTAGATGTTCTAGGTCTGAATGTAATAGATGAGCATCTTGTGTGCATAAACTGAAACTGGTATCCTCTTCCCTTCCTTTCCATTTAACACAATAGCTATCCGCTTGCTGATAAAGATTGCTGGTTATGTGATCATCCTGACTTCTGAAGCTGAAATTACAACATAATCGTCTAACCATCTTTTGACAGGTTGATAAAGCTAGGGACCCTGAGAAAATCAAGTTGGAAGCCAAGACAAAAAACGATGTGGTCTGCGTTTCTGCTTTAACTGGTGAAGGTTTGGATGAATTCTGCAACGAAATCCAGAATAGACTAAAGGTGTATGACTTGTTTTATTTTCTCAAAAAGAAAAGGGCATATACTTTGCTGCCTAGCTAGGGGAAAATCTATATTTTCAGATAGGGCTTGATTGTGATGGATAGAGCTTTTCAATTTTGGCAGGATACAATGGTATGGGTGGAAGCTTTGATTCCATTCGATAAAGGGGAACTCCTCAGTACCATACATCATGTTGGAATGGTTGAGAGAACTGTAAGCCTCATATTCTTAGTAATTTAAAGTACTAGTCATTTCCATTTGTCTTTTCCCATTGCATTTAACCCCTCACTCATCCCACATGCACATACACACTCTGCTTGTTTTTTTTCTTCTCTAAACTTTAAGGTAAGGTAAAGTGATGACCTCCCCCAGCCCTAAAGCTGTTCTCAATGTAGATTCTAGTCACTTATGCTTAATGCTGTCAGAGGCTCATTTAAAACGTGCTTAAGCCTTGAAGCTCAGAAAAGCTCATGGTGCTGCGCTTCAGTGAAAGAGGCAGGGCACCATAGGAGTATAGGGTGCGCCTCTTTGCCCATGAGGTCAATCTTGAATCGAGGGCACTAGAAAACAAAATATAATCTGCAAATAAGTGCATTAGTTGTTGAGGAAACCTTATAGATAAGTTTGTTTCTTTTTTGTTGAATTACATTACATTTTTATTTTTTTCCTTCATTGCACCTTTTTTTACAAAAGCCCGCACTTCAGTTGCGCTTTGCGCTTAAAGCCCTATTAGACCTGGAGCGTTTTTAGAGCTTTACGCCTTTCACAACACTGTTATGCTTAAGTTTGAAAATGTCATCGTTCTTGAAGTATATGGTTTTCTTTTTCGATATTATCACCATAAAGCTACCTTGGGATTGTGGCATGTTGTTGTATCACAATAACACTCACTCCATAGCGCTTTTAGGGGTTAATTTCACTGATGGTCACTCAACTATTTTTTGTCACTTAAAAGTAACTAAACTTTCACATTGTCACTTAAAAATAATTTTGGCTCAAACTCCTACCGTAAATATGACATGACATAACATTTAATGAGAAAAATCCAAAAATAAATGCCACATAAGCTTAAATGGACCATACCCACTTTAGATCCATTTCTCCCTTAATGTGATTTGACCCATAACCCAAATGGGTTTCAATAGGGGGAAAAACACACACCTAATAAAATTAGGTCTCGTAATTTTTTTGTGGGATTTTTATCGTACAAATACAATATTTCTTTTGTCTAAACAATTGCAATAGGTTGTATGTAAGTGCATGTTTTATGAAAATAGACTCTTATTAGTCTTATTATTATTCTTGTATGCTTAGATACATTAATATGTTATGTAAGATGAATACAATACTATTTTAATTTCACTAGAAAATTATAAATATGTTATGTGAGTTGGATACAGTAGTATTTTAACTTCAGTAGAGTTATAAAACGACTCGGATGGGGCATACAAACAAGATAAGAATTTTTTAGTATAGAATAATTATAATGGGCATTATGTAATAGAAAAGGCGAGAATTTTGTAGTATAGGATAATCATTTTAAACTAATGTGAAATTTAATTTTTTTTTAATTGAAAGCATTTGGGTTATGGGTCAAATCACATTAAGGAAGAAATGGATCTAAAGTGGGTATGATCCATTTAAGCTTATGTGGCATTTATTTTTGGATTTTTCTCATTAAATGTTATGCCATGTCATATTTATGGTAGGGGTTTGAGCCAAAATGACTTTTAAGTGACAATGTGAAAGTTTAGTTACTTTTAAGTGACAAAAAATAGTTGAGTGACTTTAGTAAAATTGAAACATAGTTGAGTGACCATCAGTGAAGTTAACCCGCGCTTTTAGGAACCTCGGGTGAGGTATCAGTTGAGTTTGCATGTGATTTCTAATATTGAAAAGCCAGTAAATTTTTGAAGATACAAAAGACAAGATAGGGAAAGAATTTACTTATAATTGATACTGATGTTTGTTAGTTACTTGTAAAGACTTCCACTTTCGGAAACAACCTCTCTACTTTCACAAGGTAGGGTAAGGTCTGCTTACACAGTACTCTCCCCAGACCCCACTTGTGGGTATGTTGTTGTAGTCCAAATCTGAGATTATGCTAAACTGCTAGGAGAACTTGTTTGCACTTCCATTCAGTTAGGAATTCCTTTTCCTTACCCCTCCCCTTCCACTTGCAACATCTTTCATTTAATGTTTTGGAATCTGAATAACTGAGTTCCCAGTTTTTATGCACAACTGATATGGGTCGAGCTCCTTTTCTTCCAATGGGCATAAATCTTCAAATAACAGCTATTACTGACCTGACATACAATTGGATGGCAAAATGGAATAGATGAGACAATTTATTCTACAGTATAAGCTCTAGGGTTCTGGTTATTGTCTGCCAATAGCCATGAACTACATGAGAAACTGATACGAGTAATATGTAGAGTACTTCGACAAAATGGTTACTAATGTTGCGTACTATCCCAGATTATAAAGATTAAAGACAGAATTTTCATCCTGTATTCTTTTTGATTTTATAGGAATACACTGAGAAAGGAACTCTGGTTAGAGCACATGTTCCCCTCCGATTTGCAAGGCTTCTAACTCCAATGAGGCAAATGTGTGTATCATAATTGCTTCATGTCACCAAAATACATATTCTTGAAGGGTTAAACAAGCGCACGAGTATGGCCAGCGTAAATTAAAGCTTATGTAGATTGTATTGAAACTCCAGCGCAAGGGTCTCCAGATTGTGGCGTCTGAAAAATATGCATAACAGCTCAGCACTAAACAGGAATTACTACAAGTCATCTATTCTCCTCGCATCAGCAGTCCGTTGACTGAAGAAAAACTGCAATCTTGTTCAAAGGAATTTATGCTAGACCGGTGTCCATTCTGTGTTCTGGTCTCACTAACTGCTGCTTCTGTACATAGAAATATATCATCACAGACTCACATGTAACTGCTTTCGAAGAAGGTTCCTTCTCCCCGTTGTACAAATTGACCAACTATTCCTAAAAAGTTGATCGCGTGATGCGTGCAGTTTGACCTGGTTTTTCTTTATAAACTGTAGGATTGGTTATTGATTATATTCAGAACATAGCAAAACTTTACATGTAGTAATTAATTAATTTCATGAGCTAATAGACTGTTAACTGATAACTTAAGAGAAAATCATCTTTATACAGAATCACATAATCATAAAAGGCCATCAAAAGCGTCATCTGCTTTGCCAATTTGCAATGCCCTCTCTGTAACATTACTGGACTCAATTCAGTAAATTGGACCTTGAGAAAAATTTCACAGTTCACTTAACGTCCTATATATTTCAGAGATATGTTAGAATTTTTTTTTTGTTTTGTTTGTATAATGTTAGTATGAGATGAGCATAAATGAAGCGGTATGTTCAGTGATTACTTATATCTTTGTCCCCAACTTGTTTGAAATTGTAACGTAATTTATTAAAATAATTGATCGCCGTGCATGTTTATACAAAAGCTCGAATCATTTTTAACATCTAGCTAGTTGCTTTGTTTTTGGGTGGCGTGGAGCAATATCAACTACGTCAAATATGGTTGAGAATTACTATTTGAATCAGTAAACAAGCCGTTACTTTATGTAATAACTCAATTTGGAAAGGAGACTCATGTAGTGATGAGGGCATCTATTAGATTACCAACAGTTCATGATACTTGCATTACATACAAAACTGCCTTAGCGGTTTGATCTTTATAAGAATGATGAATGAGCTGTTACTTCATTACTATTTTCCTTTTACATCTTTATTCTACCTACTTAGCTTTTAAGCTCATTTCGTCACTTTTTTTTATTTCATCACTTCTCTCATCTCACATCTTAATTCTATCTACTAAGCTTTTAGGCTCACCTCTTTTTTCTCTTGGGCAGATACCTATTCCTAGTGGCAATGTGTATGCCATAAACGATGCATTATCAGCAGAGGGTGCAGCAGATGATTATGAGACTTGTCTAAGACATTTGGTTAAGAGCAAGATTGTAGACATTTCTGAGGCTACTCGATTTCCCAAATTTGATGTAATGCTATTGGGTATGGGTCCCGATGGGTGTCACACCTCCTTTTTGAGCGCCTACCCCGAGGGATAAATGCGCGAGGGAGTTTTTCCAATTTAAGTGACAATATTCGAAATGGGATTATTTATTTATTTAGAGTCGCCACTTGGGAAAGGTTTGACTTTTGGTGTCCCAAGTCACCGGTTTATCTTGAACCCCAAATCGAGGAAATTTTCGACTTTCCAAATGAAGTCTGCGAACCAGAAATTCTAAGTAAGGAATTCTGTTGACCCGAGGGAAGGTGTTAGGCACCC